AATGATGAATGTCATCATATTGTATACCTAATATGTACCAATAAACTTAATGAATTTTAAAGAAAAAGAAGTCAGATTGTGAAAGGGATGAAAAAAACAACTACTATTGTCTATTATTGAAAATGACAAAGACAGTCTAAGGAGGACAATGAAAAGTGTGAAGTCAGGAGGAGACTGACAGATCAGGAAAAGGAAGAGAGATCAGCAGCCTAGACAGAAACATGAGGTACAAGAATAGGCATGGCAGAAATAGTTAAACAGGAAGCCTTGAAATACAGGAAGATGTAGTAGGCAGACATTAGGGTACTCCCAAGAAGCCCACCTCCTGGCACTCCTGGTGCTGATTTGTGGCCAGGACCTGTGACTTGTCAATTGAATATATCAAAGGGAATGAGATATACATGATCGCACACACAGGACAATATCATGTAAGACTGTAAGGGGCATCTTGAAAGAAGTCTCCTTTGCTGGCTTTGAAGAAGCAAACTGTCAGGTTGCGAGCCAGCCTATGTTATGGGCCATGTAACAAGCAACTGAAGATCTCTCTGGATAGCAGCCAACTAGAAACAAAATGTTTCAGTCCTACAGCTGCATGAAACTGAGTGCTGCCAACAACCATATGAGCTTAGGAGGGGATCCTTCACCATTCTCACCTTGGCTGAGACTGAAGCCCACTCAACACCTGTAGAGCAAATTGAGTCTCCAAACCGAAGTCTGTATCTCTAATTCATTGACATTGTGAGAAAATGAACATGTTTTGTTTTAAAGTCCCATTAGTTTTTGTAGTATCATTACAAAGCACATAATGAATGCAGAAAATATAGTCAGTCAGAGAAACAAATCTATGCACCTACAGCCATCTGACCTTTGACAAAGGGGCTAAACCACACACTGGAGAAAAGACAACCCCTACAGCAAACCGTGCTAGGAAAACTGGTTACCCAAATGCAAAAGATTGAAACTACATCCTTATCTCTTACCCTGTACAATAATCAAATCAAAATTGACCAAATACCTATATATACAAGCAAGCTTTGAAAGTCCCAGAAGATATTATAGGAGAAAATACTTAAAGCCAAAGGCACAGGCAAGAACATTCTGAACCGAGCTTCAGTAGCAGAGGAGCTAATATCAAGAATCAACAGAGGACTGGGGATTTAGCTCAGTGGCACCGAGCCTGCATCACAAGTACAAGGTCCTGAGTTTGATCCCCAATACCAAAAACAAAGAGAGAGAGAGAGAGAGAGAGAGAGAGAGAGAGAGAGAGATTATAGAAAATTAAAAACTTCTCCACAGCAAAGGAAACAATCAGCAGTGTAAAGATAGCCCATAGAATTGGGAAAAAAAGTTGCCAATTATTCTGATAGAGGACTAATACTTAGAATATATAAAGAACTCAAAAAACTTGACCCCCCAAAAATAAATGACTCAAGTAATAAATGGCAAAATGAACTGAACAGACATTTCTGAAAAGGAGAAATACACATGACCAATTAAGTACATGAAAAACTGTTCATCTTTACCCACCAGGGAAATGCAAATTGAAATTACCCTGGGATTCCATCTTAATCCAGTTAGAATGGCAATTATCAAGATCACAAAAACAACAAATGTTGGTGAGAATGTGAGGAAAAGAAAGACTTCTACATTGCTGGTGGGAATGTAAACTACTACCATCACAGAAACAAGTATGAGACGCCTGCCCCACAAGCACAAGGATCCGAGTTCAATCCCCGGTAACAAAAAAAAAAAAAAGAAAAGAAATAAGTATGAGATTCCTCAAAAAGCAAAAAATAGAAATTTCATCTGGCCCAGCTATACCTCCCCTGGATATATTCCCAAAAGAACTGGAAATGTTATACTATAGTGATTTTAGTCACCCACACATACCCATGTTTACAGCATGATGATTCATAATAGCTAAGCCATGGAAACAGCCAGATGCCTGTCAACATATGAATGGACAAAGAAAATTATATATATATACATATGAATGTATTTCATAGATATATATGAATATTAACCATAAAGAAGAGTGAAATCATGTCATTTGCAGGAAAATGGATGGATGTTGAGACCATAATGTTGAGTGAATTAAAAAAAAAGAAATTAAATAAGACACAGAAAGTTAAATAGCACATGGTTTCTCTTGTATGAGAAATCTAAAATATAAATAAATAAGATAAAGGAAAGGTGGTAGGAAACAAGAAGACAGTCTTTTTTGGAAATAGGAAAGAAGATGGGGCATCTGGGAAAAGAAGATAAAAGGATTGAAAACAATCAAGATGTTATATGTATGTACCAATTCTCCACAATGAACGTAACTATTATGTATTACAGACATACACTAATAAGAGACAAAAAAAGAAAGATATAGCAGTAGACTGATAATCAGAGCATGAGAACAATAGTAAGACATCTGTGTTTAGGATTAAGTACTCATCATAGGCCAGCTCTTTGGAAACACCATAGTAAACAGATTGAGTTTGGTCTTTGAACATGTTTGTGTTTATACATAGCTCTGTGACTTACTAGCTACATGACCATAAGAAGTTTTTTTAATCTCACTGAGTTTCTGTTTCTTATCTATAAAATTTCATTGTAGTTGCTGCAAATGTTTAAGTGAGATCATAGCTGTAAAACACATCACTATATCTAGGATAAAGTAAAACCTCAAGTACAGTTCTTCCTGCAGGATTTTCACTGGAGAAACTTGTTTCACAAAAACAATTGATTAAACAGATTCAAGAGAGAAAGTGCTTAGAAGAAATTGAAAAACAAGAACAAAGAAAAGAAGCCATCAGCCATGTAAGTAGAATAACACAATAGAAACTGAGAGTTCACTATGTCCCAAAAGAATGAAGTGGAAAACCCCAATTGTAAAGAAGGGAGAAAAGGCATGAGTACAAACTTACAGAATGCAACACTAAAATTCAGAAATATGATCTCATTCTCCCCCTTTCCAGGAGACACTAAATTGACATCCATTCCTCACAAGATTGGCACATTTTAGAAAGGTCTTTTTCTCCCAGTTGTGACTAAAGACTGTTTCAGAACTATGTCATGTCTCCAGCTGTAGTGCTGGCTTTGGGCTGGGCCTCATGTTCAGATGGCCATTTTTTCAAGAAGAAAATAAAATTATTCTGCAGGTGCTTATTAATCATTTTAAGAGATCTTTTAAAAGCAATAAATAATGCATATATGGTAATTAGGACAGAATTATTTTTCTATTTTTTTCCTCAAATCATCGCTTTTGACAGTGCTCTTTTTAAAAATTAGAATATAAAATTAAAAATCTTTCATCATTCATTATGAATGATGATAGGCATCAATATACTTTTGAAGAGTTGCTAATTGTTATGGAATCAGATCTCTAAACCGATTTTCTCAAAAGAACTGTAGAAAGATCCCGAGTTCGATCCCCAGTACCAAAAAACAAAAACAAAACAAAAATCAAAAGAACTGTAGAGAAACTTTGCTCTGGTATTAAGAGTAACATATACCTTGTTTTTGTACCATTTTCCCTAACATGCTTATAATTTTACACAAATACAAGAAAAATAAAGTCTGGCTTAATATATTTTTGGTTTATACTCAAAAGGAAAAACTCACAATGTAATTCTTCATCCCTTTGACAAGAAGATAAAAATTCCATCTTAAAGGATATGGAATCCTAACATAGGATAATTTATAACTATCCAAATGTACGTTGAGAACTATGTCATGTTTGAATATATATTTTTTTCTGATATTTTAAATAGGAAAAAAACCCACATATAATGTAAGGTAAACCAACCCAAACATCAAAAGCTTGAATCTCAATGAATTTCTGGTCTTGTGAAACACAAATAGATTTTAAAGTTAGAAAGCCTTCCCATATATTCAACATTTATTCTGAATTTATCCACATAAAAATATCTGTAATGTCTACAAAATTCCCAGGTGTTTGCAAGCATTAATAAATGAAAGTGTTTGCAGAACTTCATGCCCTTGGGCAGAACATAAAATTTTGACCTCTTTCCAACAAAATAACTGAAGAATTTCTTTATGAGTAAACCACACATTTTGAAAGTTAAAGAATTATGTGCAATTCATGAATTTTAGAATAAGGCAGAATTTCTTATCTTGAACCACATCATACAAATAAATTTTAAACTATATCATATTGTATGAAATCAGACATTGTGTTGCCATAAATTTAACAATTTCTTTGGTCCAAAATTTTAAAGGCTAATTTTTTTTGTTTTAGTTTGTCAGAACACATGTTCAGAAATATATGTGCTCTTCCAGACCAAACAGCCAAATATACTTGCAAATCCACATTTTAAGCTACAAAATAAAGACTTTTATAATATAGTATTTTCTTCAGAACATTTCTAGGTGACACTTTAAATGTTCACTTGACAATGTTTAAATGATCATGTATTTTAATTCGATCTAACTAGATTTGTTTTATACTTATCTTGCCCATTTCGTGTTTTGCTAGGTTGTCAAATTGCCAAAATTGTCCACAGCTTAGTATCTTTGAGGATTAATTCTCTATCTTGATTAAGGTAGCCTGTTTTGAATAAACAAGTCTTAATAGTTTTACATTATTCTATAATTTAAAACATCTAGAAATGAAGCTCTAGTATGTAAAAATCAGTTTCATTCAATCATAAATAAATACTCACTAACATATTCTGCTCTGGTGGCTTAGTTGCCCCACATTTAGCTAATTAATAAATAGATATTCACGGAGGAATTAAACTTTTCTACAGGGTGGTCTTAATGAGTCAAAGTCAGGAAATTAATCTTGAGTTTCCAAAACACCTAATGCACATGAAAGTAATTAATTTATAGTTATGTGGGCTTCAATTCTGTGAACTTAGCATGTTTTCCATATTTTATTCACTGTTTACATTGGTAAGGTATTATACTTTCTCATGTCATTTACATAGAGTTGAGATACAAATGAGTTAATTCAATTGATGTAAACATTAATTACTGAATCATCTCACCTGTGATCATTCTGTTTATGGGGTAATTCGTGATGTAGACTGTTTTCCATTATTTTGCGATTTGGTGATATTTCTGCACACACTCTGGTCCCATTAGCTCACCCTCCAATTCCATCGAAGGAAAATGTATTCAAAACTGATAGTACTGTGGCTGATTCAGGAATTATAGGAAATCGACATTTACTAAAGAAAAATTCTAGCTGTATATAATTCTATAATTGATGTATTGTTTAGATTCGATTCATTCATAATTCATTGTACTTAGTTTATAATTAATTCATTATAAAAACACTTAAATACTACATATTAATTATATCTTATTCATGATCCTACACACATTACATTTACTTATTTAACTAAAAACATTTATTGCTAGGTATAAAATCCCTAGAACATCAGATGGCACCTTCCTGAGTTTCCTTACAGACAGTCTTACAGTTGGTTTTTAGTCATGTCTGAAACATGATCAATCTTTTATCAGTAGCATTCACATACCTGGCTACAGGTGCAGGCACTGTCACCTGCCAATACCAAGATAGCCTCTTTTGGAAGTCCAGCCCCACATCTTAGGTAGGTTCTCCAGTCTCCAGAGCTCTGTTGATACTAAGACAACACCCTAATTACAATGGAATTGGGTTAGAGTCAATGACAGAAAGTGTTCAGAAAAAGTCCCCAGTTATTTGGAAGCTAAGTAAGAGCTCTCAATAACCTATGGGTCAAAGAAGAACTCGAGAGGGAGTTAGAAAGTATGTCAACTGAATGAAAATGAAGAGAAAACATTTCAAAATCTGTGAGATATAGCTAAAGCAGTACTAAGAAAGAAATGCCTAGCTTAAGAAAATAGTATAAAAAAGCTAGAAGGCAAAAAGAAGAGAGAAGTGACCTGCTTTTTCCCCTTACCTTAGCATGTGTTCCTTTCTAACCTCTTGTCTTGTGTTATGGATGATGCTGACGTCCTAATTGCCAATATCTGTGGATTTAACCTTATTTGGGAATAGGGGCTTTGCAGCTAATTAAGAGGAAGTCATTAGGCTGCATCCTAATCCGGCTGTTGTCCTTTCAACAAGGTAAATTTGCACATGAAGGCAGACACATCCATGGGAGAAGTGGAGAGAACCCTACCTACATATCAATGGTGGAGGCTACTAGAAGCTAGAAGGCCCAGACAGTCTCCCTTCTATCCCTCAGGAAAAAAAAAAAAAAAAAAAAAAAATCACCTAATTTGAGATTTTTAACCTCCACACCTATAAGACAGTGGATTTCTGTTGTTTTCAACCATCTAGTTCTGTGGTATTTGTTAGGCCACCCTCAGGAAGGGATGCTTCCCCTCGAGGTACATCACATGGTTCTAGCACCCAGCTTTCTCAGGCCTCCTACCATTAACTCCACATCAGCACCTCAGGGACCAGAAGCAACTGGACAGCAAGTGTCTCCACAGGTCCTCAGGGGCTCCCCAGAAGCTTCCGCTTGTACCATCTTCAATTTTTCTGGCTCCCCAGAAGTTAGGGATGGGAGCAGCTTCCTGTGATTCTTGTTACCCATTTAACCAATTCCTTCCATTTAATTCACCCTGTGACAATAGTTAACAGTTTATAGGTCAGCCAGAGGACCCCTAACTGAAAACAATCTCAGTCAGAGTGAAAGCTCAAGTCCATAGTATACCTTTCAAGATCCTACACAATCTGAGCCCTGGCTACTTCTCTGCCCTCATTCTTGGCATTTTCTTGGTCACCCATCCTGTTCCAGCCATGTGTGTCTCTTTGCTAATCCTTGAACATACCAAGCATGCTTTCTTCTTAGCCTGACTTGCTGCTCCCTGTGCTTACAGATATCTGCCTGCTCGCTTGCTTCATGTATGCCCAAATGTCTACTCAGTAGACACCTTTCTTGGCAATGTTTATAAATGATTGCTTTAAGACTCATGGAATTTGGTACTGGACGCATTTTGACACAAAACTTCTGTCCTAGTTTGTTTGGGTTTTTTTTGTACCAGAGATCGAACTTGGGACCTTACACTTGCAAGGGAGGCACCAGAGCCACTGAGCTAAATCCCTGGCCCCTTTCTGTCCTAGTTTTGATTGATACTTGCCTTGCAAGCTAGAACTTGTCAGTGTCATATGCCATGTGACTCATTACCCTTTCCAGCCAAAACAATGTGCTTGGTTCTTGTCATTTTTGGTGCTCATTGCATTCCTAGAATAAATAAGTACTGAGGTACTACTGTATTTCTCCCAACCCCTGTACCTTTCCCTAAGATTCCTCTTCTGACAGCACTAACTGCTATCAGCCACACTCAGTAACAACTTATTCTCTCGCCCCTCCAGGAAAACTAGTTCCATGAGAGAAGTTTTGTTCACCGCTCTATCCCCAGCACCCAGAGCAGGTTCTGGCACACAGCAAGTGCTGACTTTGGAAAGAAAGACTGAAGAACTATGGATAAACTCCTATCAGCAGCTGGTATGTGTGGGTAGGCTAAAACTACAACCAATCTTTAATTTTTAAAAGATGTATATTTATTCTTTGAGTTTGTCGGCTGCCCTTCAAGCTCCATGGTATCACACTGCAGTGCGAAGGTCTCCTGAACTCCCTTCGGGATGGTGCACTGGGTGTTCCCATCTGCTTAACAATGAAAGGTTTTTATAATATATGTATTTCTTCCTCTTTAAACCTTTAAAAAACGTCAAGTCAAACAAGATCACCCAGGTACCAGCATTTATTGAGAGGTTGGCCACCATACAGTGAGACTCAACTAGACTTAGCCAGACCAGAGAAGGAAATGTAATTCCTGCCCTTGTGATCCCCTGCATTTACAATTCCATGGATACTCAACTCACACATATGAGAGTGAAGGCTGATGTTATCAACAAAACACATAGGAAAATAAACATAGTACACACATACTCAGCAAATGAAGAACCATGGCTGAAGGGGTGTTCCAACTAGAAAAATTCCTAGAAAAGACTGAGCGTTGAGCCAGGATTTAAAGGAAGAGACAAAGATGGATGAGGATGAGGGAGGAAAGAAGAAAGGACACTTGCAAAAGCAAATGGCAAATACACAGGTGTAACATCATTAGTTACTTGCAGTTTACAAACTAAAACACTATGGATTTGGCCACTGGCCTCTCTTTTCTTTGTTATCGGCTTTATTTTATACTTTCTCTTAAACACATCAAATTTTATTCTGAACTCAAATGCTTCTATACTTTAAATGGCAGAATGGACTCACTTCATAAACTCCTTCCAACTCACTCCTCGGGTTTCACTTGAGGATTTTACCAGTCACATAATCTGAAATAGATCTGCTTTGTTATTCTCCATCTTAGCATTTCTCTCATAGTTCTCATCATAATTTACAGCTGCAAATCTATTTGGGACCTTATCATTTGCCTGCCTTACTAGATTACTAGGTAGACACAGGGTGTTTGCATCATTTTTCTTTACTCTATACATATTGTTTAGTACAGTGACTGGCACTTCATGGCTATCTGCTGAAATGGAATCAAATAGTACATATTTCTGTGAAGCCCAGAAATCCATATATAAAACTGATTCCAAACTGCAGAACAGCTTTTTTTATTTTAAAGTTACCAAATTTAAATCATCTTGACTTCTTTTATTTTTTAAAGTTGTCCTAACTTCTGATACATAAAAATGTATATCCAACTATCTATATATCTATATATACACACACTTTTATATATACATGCATACTTCACATAAATGGTAATATTTTTATGTTCATCTATAAAATTATCTAAAATTGAGATAAAATAGCTCATCTTTTACATTAAACATAATTAGTTCATGAGCATTGTTAATTCACCCAAAGTCAGGACAGTAACTCTGGACAGGCATGGGGAACAGGGTGGGACAGTCAGTACTGGCATTGCCCATACAAGGCACCTTGGTGCAGATTAGAAGGAGGAGTCAGATAGTCTAGGTGGCCATGGTGACACCCAATACATACTGCTTGGCGAGTGAAGGAGGGCAGCATTGCAGCTTCCACTCTGCGTGCCCTGGGCTGGGCCTGACCCACATACAGGTGACAGCCCCCAACAGGGTGACATGAGCAGCTGATGATGAGCTGGCCACCCTGTGCAGCTCCATTTCTTGCAAAAATAGGGCCTGTTTAATCCATCCCTGTGAGCATGGTCAGAAAGGGCCCCTTTCTCTTCACTACTTCCAGGGCCTTAGCTGAAGAGGAAGACTTCCTAGTGGAAGACCATTTTTCATATCTGAGTGTGTGGACATCTCTGCCCTCCTGCTACAGCCTCCCACCGAGCTTTCAAGATTTAATCTTTGGAAATAGCCCAGTGTTGACTCTTGATTCCAAGAAACTACGCTGTCAAGGCTGTGGGTGAGGCCTGCAATTTTCTCTCTGGAAAAAAAACAAATCAGAAGTTAGTTCACTTGGGTAATGACTATTACACACTTCTTAACGACTATTTGGAAATTTTATCATGGCACTAAGAATAAGCTTAGCTATCTCATAAGTGGTGTAGTTATTTGACTTCCATAAACAGTAGACAGGAAAAATTCTTGGTCCCATGTCTCCCAGTACTCTGGGTGGCTGAAGCAGGAGGAGCCCAACTTGAACAGTGTAGTGACTTAGTGAGAGAGACCCTGTCTCAAAAATAAAAAGTGTAGAAAGGACTGGGGATGTACTTCAGTCTGAAGTCTATGGATTTCATCCCCAATCTGGAAAGTAAAAGGAAAGAAAGATCATGTCTTGTTTTGGTAATCTTTTATAAATGCTCTATATCTTGAATCTTAGTGTCACAGGTTGTAAAAGACATACAATGTTTTAAAAACAGTTTTAAGTTACTTTAAGTGTCCTTGGTCTTGAAACACACCCATAAAGAAGGGCTGTCCCTAAACCACTAACATGAATTAATCACTTGGCATGGGTGTGTAAGAATAGTGGAAAACACCTAGACTGAGCTCCTAGGTCCTGGTTTTCAAACTACCTAACTAGATGGAATTGTGCAAATGATTTAACCTTGATGGGATTCATCTCAAGATCTATTAAATCAGAGTCTAAAGTCTTGAAGGCCTTACAGTGATTTATGTTAGCGGTTCTCCAAGCAGGAAAAATGTCAGATAAAACAATCTGTGGAGCATTTATAGTCGCAGGCAAGTGGATACCACACCCCTGGCTCTTCCCCTGGGAGAAATGTGAAGTACCTACTCAGGGCCCTACCTTACGATCTGGACTGGGTCAAACGTTCCAGCTGGTTCTTCTCAGCCACTCTAGTCTGCTCACTTCTTTTGGTAAAACCCTAGCTCCACCAGTAAATCCCAGCCCAGAGAGTTTATGTAGCCACTAACACCACTTTAGAGTTGGTTTAATCAGCTACCCACCTGAACCATCACCAACGTTCACATGAGCTTTGGGAATCTGTGTCCAAGAAGTGAAGCAAATCCAAATATGGTGAACATTCCTCCACTGCCAAAATGGGAAGCTGCCCTTATCTCCTCATCAAAACCCATCCACCAGAACATCAGCTCCCCTGTTAAATACCCAAATGGGCAAAAGCACATTTTGTGTGCAACCCCGTAAAGGTTTGTCCCTTTGCCAACTTTCAGGGACGAAATAAACATCAAGCCACAGCTCTTGGTAACGAGGACACCCAATTTTTTAGAAATACTTCACAGTCTTCGTCTGGCCAGGGGAAAGGTTAATGTGTTTGTATACATGAGGGCGGAGGGTGCACTCTTTCTGGACACACCTGCATCTAATTCTTGCTCCAGAACTAACACCTCTGCATTAACAACCCAGGGAGTGCGTGTGTGTGCGTGTGTGTGTGTGTGTAATTTAGAAGGAAAGTTGATTTTCCAGCCTGCTTCTTTCTGCCCACCTAGGGCACAGGAACCTGAGTTTGCCTACCGGCATCTGCGGGGCTGCCTCGGATCCGGGCTCAGGGGGCCTGGAAAGGGGTTCCTGGCGCCAGCCTTCGCAAACCCAGGTGAAGCCTCTAGCGGAAGACTCAACCTGCTCTCCGTCTCCTCCCCACCCTAGCCACCCGCACGGGTCTCTGGCCCTTCAGTGGCTGCCGGACTTTCCGCGAGGGTTGGGTGGCTCTTCTCAAAAGTCTCCAAACCCCTCTCCCCACTTCGCCTCTAAGTCAGATCTCCAGGATCTGCGGGGACCAGGGGGGTCTCTCGGTGCGTCTGCGAAAGGGAAAGAGGTCGAAAACTCCCTCTTGCCCACCCACCCCCAGACTAGGAGCCAGGCAGGGGTCGCCCTGGCAGGGGCCCCCTTTTCTCACCTCCCACGGCCCACTCTTGCTTTCTCTCGCAGCCTCAGCCTGGGCAGCGCGCGGGGGCTGCGTGTAGGAGAGCGAGCCGCCGCCAGGCAGCCCCGGAACTTCGAGGAGGCACCCTCGCGGCTGGCTCGGGGGCTCGGCGGCCTCGGCACCCGGGCGTCCCCGTCCGTCCCCTCCCTGCCGGGGCCCGTGGCCGCCGGGGGCCCCCAGGGCGCGCGCTCAGCCCCTCCCCGCCCTCCCTCCTCCCGGACCCGGGACGCACGAGCAGCGGTGACGTCAAGGGGCGCGCGGTGGCAGCACCTCCCCGCGCGCTAGTTAAAAAGAAGAAGAAAAGAGGGAGCGAAACATGAGAGGCTGTGTGAGAAGCTGCAGCCGCCGGCAGAGGAGACCTCAGCATCATCCAGAGCCCCGCGCCCTCCCGGCCTTCGCCTGCCCCGCCGCCGCCGCCGCCGCCTCTGTGCCTGCTACTGTCGCACCTAAACAGCTCCCGGTGCAGGGACAAGTGAACCTCTGTGAACGTCTCCTCTTCTTTCTTCTCTTCCAACTCGTTCTCCTCCTCCCACTTCCCGGGCTCCGCGGAAAGCCCCTAACCCAGCTGACACTGGCACAACTGCGGACGGTGTCATCAGCACAACTTTATCTGGCTGCTCCGGCTCCTCCAAGGCACTGGACCCATCGCCTCGTCTTTTGTTTTATTATTTTATTATTATTATTTTTTTTTTTTGCAAAGTTGCATCGCTCTACATATTTCCCCCCGCCACCTCCCCCCGCCCGCCTCCCGAGTGTCCTAGCGCCCCGCAGCTTCCCCCGGGAGCTGCGCCCTAGTGGCCCCGTGGGCAGCGGGTCCCCCACCCTACCGCGCCCCCCTGCCGCTCCCGGCAGGCGATGCTGAAGATGCTGTCCTTTAAGCTGCTGCTGCTGGCCATGGCTCTGGGCTTCTTCGAAGGAGATGCTAAGTTTGGGGAAAGAAGCGAAGGGAGCGGAGTGAGGAGGAGGAGATGCCTAAACGGGAACCCCCCAAAGCGCCTGAAGAGGAGAGACAGGCGGATGATGTCCCAGCTGGAGCTGCTGAGTGGCGGAGAGGTGCCGTGTGGGGGCTTCTACCCTCGGCTGTCCTGCTGCCTGCGAAGTGACAGCCCGGGGCTGGGGCGCCTGGAGAACAAGGTAGGCGCTGTCGGCCTCACGCACGCGAACTTGGCACGCCGGCTGGGTGGGGGGTCCCTGTGGCTCTGGGAGCTGGAAGAAGGGCGAAACTTCTTGGGGGAGCTCTTCTGATAACTTTTTGTAAAGCGCTAACGTGATTCCGTCGTGTGTTCCACTGGGTTCCCCAGAGTCCGCGGTCCGGATGCTGTGCAAACTCGCCTGTCCCAGAAGAGAGACGTCTCCTCTGTGGTACCTGCATCCTGGGCTGGGTTAATATCTTACAAGAACGGCGATCCACTGAGTGTTTTGGGATCAAACTGGGCACTGGCTGTTGTGAAACTGTAAATTAAGGTGGCCGTGGTTTCCGGCGTATTTGTCCAGGGTAAAAAGATTGGTGCAGTTTTTCTCCACGTGCTCTGTTGGGAGGATTGAAACAGGAAGGATCTCGAAGCATGCTTGGTTTAGGTTCCCCAGCCCGTCAGAGGGGGTGTCTTGAATTACGATAGTTAAACCAGCTAACAGCAACTCCTGGCACCTACAGTTAAGAACCTAGAAAAACTGGCCAGAGATTTCGCTGGAACGTATTTATCCCCTAAAACCGAGATGATTCTCCATCATTTTGTAGCATTGTAAATTAAGGCTTTTCAGTGAGTTGTCTCGGAAGATTTTCTCTAGGAATTTGTTTAAAGAACAGTGGCATTTACATTTCCCTTGTGTTGATAAATTTAACCAGATAAGCAAATAGTGTTGGTTCCGTGCAGAGACATGCTTATTTCTGAGTTTGCAATATCATTCTTGCCTTGAGATGCTGTAATGTGTGCTGTCTACTTTAGTCCAAGGAAGGACTACTGGGTCGGGTCACATCGTCATTAACAATCACTGCAAATGAAATAAACCATCAGGTGTCCTTGCTCCCCCCTTTCCCCTTTGTAGGTTTAATTAAGAATTCTTCTGTTACACCCCTGCAGTTGTCAAGGTCTGAGAGACGTGGAAAACTTGGGCTTCAGTCTTGCTGGCCCAGGCATTAAAAAAAAATACCCAGGCTGAATCTAATTTTTATGCTCAGTTCACGGTAGATTTCACTCTATTCTCATGTAAACAGCTCCTACGAATCAACATATGTGTCTGGGTGGTATCTCTCACTTTGTTTTGTAACAAAAAGCCATATTGCATCATTTAATTTGCTCAAGTCATGCAAATAGGAAAAAATCAATAGGACAAAAAGGGGTCGACTTATCCTCCTCCCCACTAAACTGCTGCCCACACACAGAGTCCTGTTGCTTATGGCAAAAGAATAACAACAACACCATTGTATTTGTTAGTTGGTTCACTAATGGGTGAAACTAGAGAACATCATTCTCTTTCAGTCCCCAGCTCTGTCCAAATGTTCATGCCTTTTGAGGGAGCATTTGTCCAACTCCCAGATGAGTGAGAACTGTCTTGCTGCAGGTTTTCAGCTACAACTCACTCTTTATTCTTACCATATGCAGCAGTAGTCTGAAATTCAGGGAACAGATATTCCAGCATTTTATTCAAAACAATGTCATTAAGCGCCAGTGTCATAATTGAATTAAGTTGCATTCAGATCATTTTAAAGGTTTTACCCGGAGCCCAAAGAACCAGGAAATTCAGAGAAAGGTTTAGAAATGTTTGCCATTGAATGTCCCTGTGTGCTATGTACAGTGCAAGTATAGGGATGATCTAGCTATACTGACCTCTTCCAGGAACATGTGGAATGAAAATTAATTAATTTCTTCATTAAATATATTAGGCAGAAGGGAGGTGGGACTTACAACCCTTAGGAAAGGAGTTATAACTCTTAAAAGGGGCTATATTAAAATTTTTTTAAAAATTACTCAGGAAGCAATCGGCCACCTTAGCTATCCACATTCCTTTCTGATGTAAGTGCTTCCAATCTCTAGCAATCCCTACTCATTTGAAAAATGTGTCTGAATTAAGTTGGGTACATTAGACTTTACTGGTTCCATTGCAAGTGGTTTATAAAGCAACAATACTCAAATTGTTCAAAACAGCAATTTGATATAGCTATGCATACACATTCTTGACCTATGTGACTTCTCAAGTTTTAATAGTTTTTAAAACATGTTATTTTATAATAAACTTCAGTGTTTCTCTTTTTCTCATAAGCCCTTCCTGGATTATAATATATGTCAGAGTCTTATTTCACAATGTACATATAGGAGCGATAACGGCAATTTGAGAGGGCCCTTTTTTGTTTACAAATTTTTAAAAAGTCCCCAAGAAAGATTTCTGCAGTTTTTCAAGAAACTAAGATACCAGCTTTTTCCTCAGGGAAGAAATTTCTTAGACAGATAGTAACAAACAGGGAAGAATATTGAAAATGCACAGCTATGCAATTGAGTACAGTTTCCAGACTAACAAATTTTCTTTAATAAACTAGCATTGAGTGCCATATTATGTTTTTATATTTTAATTCTTGGTACATTTTAATAATGTATATTGTAATAAGATTGTTAACTACCATTCCAAGTCAGTACTGCCAAAACTTAGGAAGCTAGATTATCTCAGCAATATTTTTATAGCTCCTGAATATAGCATGCCAAAAAGATCTAATTCCCATTAGCTGAAATGAATCCACAACCAACTAAAATGCCCTTATTTCTAAAACTTGGAGCCACAGTGGCACAAGTTCACTCTACCTTGGGTGGTTTCACAGCCAAAGCTGTCAAGGAATGGGTGAAAAGTAATTGTTTTCAAGTGTGCCCTTTTACAATCATTTGTTTGCTCTGGCTCTTTCAGGGACAAAGGCTATTGTTGAACACATCCAACTAAACAAATAACTCATCCTAGGGTCCCTTTAACAGCTGCCTTAGTACAATGATCTATTTACATATTAGCCTAAAATTGAAACTGAACTCTTTAATGACATAATCCAGCACTATAGTCCAGAGACACATGTGTTCTACACAACAGCTGAACAACCTTGTAGGCATATGATTTTTAGAAATAACATTTTGTGTACCAAGTGATCTTAAGGCGACATCTTAATATACTGTCATGTATTTTCTCCTTTTGTCCCTTCATTCAACCCACGTGGGTGCCTTTTTACCCTCTTTGTTTAGTTAGTTGATAAATAAAGAGAAATACAGAAGGTCTCTGTCACCCATTTTACTGTTTGTTGATAAGCTATAGTTATAGGACACACTTTACTCTGTATTCCAGTATTTATCTGAACTTTCCTCTGTGGATTTCACTTTCATGTGGCCACAGATTAAAGGATGACCTACCAGATGTTACAAATTAGTCAGCAACAGCCACAATCATTACTAGGCATGCTGTGATAATGTTTCGAAGTTTTACATGATTTCCAAAGTATACATAGTTTAGACCACTGTAATTTGATGGTTTTGTATAAATGGTTTTTAAAAATCAAAACAGGAAATTAGCTTAAATTTCTTCTTAAGATTGATGGCACTGTCAGACATCAAGTTAAGGACCTATATGGACACAGACACATAGGCAAAAAAATAAGAAAGAAAAAGAAAAGAAAAAAATCACCCTGCACATACCAGTACTCATCTGTCTAAACCAGTGTTGCAGCTTTGGCTGGGTGGGTTTAATTGACTTCAGTAAGACTATTGGTTCATTGAGACCAAAGCCAGAATGATGGCTCTATCTATCTTCAAATAGGTATTTACACTGCAGACCTCACACAGAGCAAACTGTTACCATCCTGCTGGGCCGGAACAGCATGAAACTTTAAAAAGAATAATATTATACTTGATTTCAGATAATTTATTGAATCCTACTTCTGAAACTTTTGATGAGAGATCCTGTGGCCAGGACACATTCCAAAAATTGGAAAAGACAAAATTCTTGAGGCACTAAAACTCAAGCTCTTCCTGGATAGCAGCTGGGAGAGTGTATGGGGATCATTCTATCTCAGCTATAAAAAGTGGAAGCATGCATATTCTCCATAAAACCCAGAGGTATTTGCAACCCAGGTTTTTAGCCAGGAAAAGAGGTGGCTTTAGTGTCCTGCAATTGCTTTGTGTTTAGTGGGCTGCTGTATGGTAAACAGGACTAAGTTGAGCACTAGTAATATTGAATAGACCTAGAGAGGTCTGCCAGAGTGTGGACAATAAAAGACATTTAAAACATTCTTGGAATGCAAATTCTAAGTGTCTGGTGTATGTTTCCTTTTAGAAAACTTTAACCATTTAAGCAGATGTCATTTAAATAAATTGATAAAAATAAAATGTAAATATAATTATGATTAGTAATTTTTCTAAATATTACATAGTTACTACTTATGTTTCCTGTCAAAGCATAACTCCGATTGACTTAAATACTGAATGCCTAAATTTTAGCATGCTTTTATTAAATAATTTTTTTTTGGTACTGGGGATCAAACTCGGGACCTTGTGCTTTCAAGGCAGGTGGCGGAACCACTGAGCTAACTCCTCGGCTCAATGATTTTTTTTGTTACTTTGCTCCTCCAGATCCAGTTCTTGGTAATCAGCTATAATATAATAATCTTGAAAACTAGAGGCTGTGATTTACTAAAGTTGGAAGCTCAGCTCGGGAATGAAATATTTGCTTTAAACAATGATATAGAGTTTTAAATCTTTGTTTTAGCACATAGTTCAAAAGAAATACAGTCAGATAGTTGGGAAAGTATAATTCATTCATATTGTGGTGCTTTTAATATAAAAAAAAATCAATGTTTGATTTCTATAGCACATTTCATGTCCCAAATATTGTGTTAATATTATCAAGAGTTCCTTAAGTCAGTTTTTAAAAGTTGTACCAGATACCAAAACCTATTCTAGCAATGAATCAGTAAGTCCCAAATTCGTCTTACTGAAAGAAAAGGTGTATCATTATAAAAATAGTAATAAAAATGTACTTTTTTTCATTAAAACTTACTATTATGCAAAAGCACTTTTATTAAACTCTTGTGTTTAATCATGCATATAACATAGCCGAGAAGCTAGTTAGAAAGTTTTTTCTGGCTGAGATATAATGAATAATAAAGACTGGTCTTAAATCTGTTTGATTCAGTTTAGAGTACTTTTATAGAATATGAAAGACAGTTTAGAAAACTTTCCTTACCCAGTCTATAGATTGAAAATCAACCAAAATTTTTAAAAATGTTATTCAGGTACATTTTTGAGACTGTCATATTAGAAATTTCAGGAATGAAATAGATTTTTACCTAAGACACAAATAAGTTATCTCTTTAAAAATTGTGTTTTGCATGAAGTTGGATAAAGGTATTAAGAATTTTTAAAAATTAAATGTCATCCTGATTCTGTAGCTACTTTGAAGCAAAATAAAGTGATAGAGCATTAAACAATCTACATATAAGTGTTTTTTAAATTTTTCACACCTGAAAGATTCATAGACTGACTTGTGAGAGTAAGAAGCACTTTTATACATTTCCAACTTTTGTTTTCCTGTCTCGGTCCCTGAGACAACTTGTATCCTTATGAAGGCCCTCTGATTTGTGACACAGTAATTCTTTTCAGGAAACTTCCTTGGCTGCTGGAGATTTTGCTACTTAAAGGATTGCAAAAAAATACAAACAAATCTAACTTCACATAACTAAAAAGATGTTTGTTTCTGATTTATGTCTTTCAGATATTTTCTGTTACCAACAACACAGAATGTGAGAAGTTATTGGAAGAAATCAAATGTGCATTTTGCTCTCCACATTCCCAGAGCCTTTTCCACTCACCTGAGAGAGAAGTCCTGGAAAGAGATCTAGTACTTCCCTTCCTCTGCAAAGACTATTGCAAAGAACTCTTTTACACCTGCCGGAGCCACATTCCAGGTAACAAAAGAAAATGCATCAGTTAAATAAATATCCTCACAAGGTACCTACTTTTAAATGCTCTTTTATAAGAGATGTAAAAATGCATCTCACTTTTCAGAATCCCATTTTACTTCACAATTAGCTTTCCCAAAGTCGTAAGTTTTATTGAGATGAAAAGAAGTGTTATAATTTTAGTCTACAAAACAGGTGGTATTTTAATACACATAAGGTTATCAGTACAAACTTTTTAATGTGGTGCTGGGATGGAACCCAGGCCCTTGCACATTCTAAGCACGTGCTCTACCATTGGGCTTCAACCTCAGCCCCAGTACGAATTTCTTGTTGGAGTTTTCTTTACCTGACAGCATCAGTATGAAGGCAGCCTATTCTACACAGCTGGTGCCTGATGGAGAATGTACACTGATACTTAAGATACTCCTTTCAATAAAATATAACTAGGAGTCCCAAGAAGTAACATCTTACAAAGTACTTTCACATAAAATGAGTGATTTGCTCCTCAAAAACCCCGTGAAGTAGCAACAGTAGAGTTCTCTCCATTGGACAAATGAGGAAAACTGTCCCAGGAGAAGTGATATGCCTTATGCAAAATTATAAAATGAGAAGGTGATAGGATGGATACAGAAGTTCTGAGGTATACAGTATCACAAAGACACCTGGTCACAATCATATTTCAGACCTTAATAGACATAGATTCTTGGGCATTGAATAAATTTATCATCAAAAGTTTGTAAACTTGGGTGATTGTTGTTTTAATTGGAAGAGTCAACTTAGAGGAATCAAAGAATTTGATGATACAGAATCTGTTTAGCTAGGCAGTCACATACAATTCTACTGAAGTTAGCAGATTATAAAACTAAATGGTAATTCGGCAGGCTGAGGCAGAAGGATCATCATGAGTTCGAAGCCATACTAGACTACATAGTGAGACCATGTCTCAAAAAAGCAAAACAAATAACCCCCAAAAAACTAAATGATATTTAAGGAAAAAGATATGCTGAAGAACTGCAGGATGCACTTAGGTAATTTTTTAAACTGCTATCCACATTTTACCTCTTTTCCAAGCCAGAAAAGAATTTTGTATTTTTTAATAGAACTCAACCTAAAGAAACATTTGACTAGGGTTGCTTGCTCCCTTTGTATATAGCATAACATGTACCCACTTAATGTAAAAATAATGCTGTTGTCTTTATAAACCCTATCTGTGTTCCTAAGACTTTTCTTAAACCAGCCGTTTCTTCCTCTTTATCACATTTCCCAAAGCAAAGTGGAAGAGGTCATGGTTGTCTAGATGGCCACAGAGAGGTGTTAACAGATTAAAAACCATAAAGGTTTGCTGCAGACTTCAAGTCTTGAAGGTTTGCCTTTATGACCATATGCTGAAAGTGATATCAACACTTAGCATTTTCATTTACCTTTATCTCCTTTAGAGAAATACAACATGCTAAATTTGCAGACCCATCTGTGGGGGTCTTTCTGTATTTAAAGTTATTTTAGCATCCAAAAACTTCATGCACCCCTCACTCCCCAGGTCTACATTTGTAGTGATGAATGAAAAATTTATTTTTCTACACAGTTTGTGTATATGTAAATCTGCTGAAGTGCGTCAAGATGTGAAGTGCTTTTGGGGGCCACCCAGGCTGCTTTGAAAGATAACCTGACGAAAGCCCCACTCTTGGTGAATGAAGCAAAAGGTTGCTTTTCAGAGACTGGGGAGACCTAAACAACAAGCAGAGGGGCTGCTCCTTCCTACGCCACATGCTAATACTCATTTTAAATACCTGTCCCCAAAGTGAGCTATAATAACACACTCTGCCTCACTTAACGTGAATCGAGCTGTTAGCTGGACTGAGTGTTGGCACATAGGTTACCATTTCTTAAAGTGGGATCGATAAGATGAGAATCCTTCCTTCAGCTCCTGCTGCCAAACACAGAAATGTCTAGGTTTTCTGAACGTGAATTTTTAGAAATGGCTACAAAGGCAAATTTGTAGTAGTTTTGCCTTCTTTAGTGGATTTAATGATATGGTCCACATTTCCCTAAAGTTCAAAATTGTGGAAAACAGCTTCTTTGGGGTTCTTTTGTATAGAAAAATCTAGCCAACAAAGCATAACCCTCCTCTTTAATCACCTTAATCTTTCTACAAATCAAAAACTTTAGGAGAAAGGTACCCTGAGGGATGCATTTTGCTAAAACAAGGAAAATGCTAAAAGAGATTAGGGGAGAGAAAGTAAATTGAGAGACATCTTTATTTTTCCCTTATTGCCTAACAATGAAGAAATAAATGTATAAACTAACTCTTTGCCTCACCTTCATGACTTAAAAAAAGCATGACCATCTTAGAATATTCGTATAACCGCAGAAATAGCTCATTCTAAAAATTTTAATTCAGAAATAGTCATGGTCAATTTATTTTCCTAAATAAGGGACAAGAAATTAAAAAGCAATATAAACAAGCATACCCTACCTTTCTTAGGGAGGTCAATTTTTAAAATTTCTGAAACTGCCAAAATTACATTTGAAAAACACAGAGAATGTTTGCCCACACCTGCAAATCTTTTTTTGCATGAATGAGTGGAGTGATAATTTGCTGTTCTCTAAAAGATGGCATAATACACTGTGGAGGGCATGTCAGTGGACTTTTGACTTCTTTCTCTATACCTGTTATCATAATGACGTTATCACTCTTGGTCATCTCCTCAGCAGCCCGTTATTGTAGTGTGAAAGGTCTGCACACAATTAGTACAATTGGTTTAATCCTGTTGCTAATGAGGCCAAGGTCAAGGGTATGAATCCATTGAGTTTTCTAGTCCACAGCTGCTCCTAGCTCCATCAGATACCTTACATATGTGTCTTATTAGGCCCAAGGAGAGAAAACCAGTGGGGTTTGACAGACACAAGAAAATCTACTACATCTACCAGAATATGCTCTTTAGTGTAGGCTTTCCTGCCAGGGAATTTGGAGCTCTTTTTCTTTTTTTCCTTATTGTGATGAATGCACATATAATGAAGAAAAATAACCTCCCTTGAATACATGCTGAGAAAAAAAGTGAGAACTCAAGAGTACTCCACAGGGAGTATTTGTTTTGTGTCAGTATTTTACAGGGTGTTCCATGCTATAGCAGGACTCAATTCACTATCTGAGAGAATGGTTACTGGCCCAGGATACTTGATAAATTATCAAGAGTTTAAAAAAAAAATCTTCTGAAAGACTCAGGGTTTGTCCATAGATAGTAGAATTGACCAGGATAAGCTAAGCATAAGCTTGCAGTGAAATGCGGATCAGTGTATTCTTCCAAACAAAAGAGCACCATTGTGTAAATTGTATCTTCCCTTGCAGTAAATGTCAACCAATGCCCTGGATTCAAGACCTTTTCGCTTTTTACAACAAAGTATGTCTTATTCATCATGCTCTACAGCAAAATCAGATCATTTTAAGGAAAGTAATAGAGAAAGTATTAGATACTTCAATTCATATATCATGACTAAAAAAGGCCCATATTTTTATGTAAAATTCTCATGAGCTGGCTCCTTCCTTCATACTTCCACATTTTGCCTAGTTTTTCCTAGACACTAGGAGAAATGCACTGTTAACATTCTGTATTATCTTTTAATTTGCCAAAAGTATTGTGCCTCTGAAGCCACAACATTTAAGAATAGGCACTCATTAATCTTAAGGTACTCCATTTGAAAATGGTTTTTCATTTCTTTGTGTTTATCCTTAGCTAATAAGTCCTTATAAAAGGGAACCAGCCACCAGCATTGTTCATTTTTTTCCCTTTAAGATGGTTTGCAGACTGTAATGCTGCGATATACACATGATTTTCTTTTTCGTTTCTTTTTAAGCAAACTTGAATTTTCTTATGAATTGCATTTTGACATCTTTCTGTGACCCTGTAGACAAGCATCACATTAAAACAACATTCTTCACTGACACCATTCAGTTATAAATATATCCATAGCATGACAGTCTTCCTGCATGCCTAATATTGGCATGAATATCTCACTGCCTGATGGTAAATACTTCAAAGATGGGATACATGCATGTGCATGTGTGTTTCTCTCCAAAATAAGGCTAGCCCAAGACTTTGCAAAAAGTTGGACTCAGCAATTCAGTTTTCCTTCTCAGTTTAACAGTATTGGGCAGTTCTCACCTGAGTCCCTCGCCTTGAGAGGAGAAAAGTTATCTTTTGCCAGCAGTGAATTGCTGAAAATGAATAAATGCTGCTGGGGCCTTCATTCCTCTTCCCAATTTCTAATGCTTGAATTTTCCAAAGAAAAAATAATCTGTCAGTGGCTTGTCCCTCCCCTGGGCCACCCTTGTCTTTTGCCCTCTGCCACAGGATGTACACTCTCCCTTGCTCTTCCTTGCCCACTTCCAAAAGCAGTAGCTTTCCTAATAGCCTAACTGGAAATTGCTCTGAGGGAGTCTTTCTCAGAAATTTAAGGGTGGTGACACAATTTCCCCCAAAAGTTAGGTCAAAATGTGCATTAAACTCTAATTACCCGATACCCTCACATCCTAAGGTTGGTTTTTGGTTTGAAGAGACCTAGGTCAAGCTCACAGAAATGAACTCTTAAGAGTCTTTCTGTCATCATTGATAAGCCTCGTGTTGCTGACACCAAAATCTTGTTCTTAGAAATATTTGCTAAGCCTGAATTTGTTATATAGCTTCTAAACTTCAGATAAGTCACCTAGTGCCTTTATCACAAAATTAATAGAGTATGATCATCTAATTTGGTAGAAGTAGTACAGTAATTTAGAACCTCTGGTAACATCATATTTTGAGAATTGAAATATAGAAGTATTATTAATATGCACAAAAAGCCAATACTTTATGACTCAATAGTAAGAGTAGTGTCCAAAATTTTTCATGAAGTCTTTCTTTTGTATTCAAAGATAGCTGTGTCTGTTTGATAAAAATTCTTAATATGTAAGAAAAGAAAAAGCATCTTTTTTTACATCCCATTAAGTCAGTCTGTTTTGTATTTTTGCTTGGACTGGATGGTGTGTGAACTTTTCTGGTTAAGAAGAGAGGTGGTGTAATTTAAAGATAATTTTTGTATTACAAAATAATTATTATCACCTGTGAATAAAGTGTGGGGAAAAGGCACCTATGTGATTGAAACTAGAAGCTTTGTTAGTAACATCAATTCATTGCTTGAATATTGCGCAGTCAGTCATTTATCATGGCAATATCCATTAGATTTATTATTTAATAATATGTAAGTGGCACTAAATTAAGACTTGTGAAATCATCCAAACTGGTACCTGATTGCCTGTCATCTTTCTCGATTCTAATTTATATTTTTCAGGAGGTTATTTAGTACTATAGCAAAAAATGCTAATTAATGATGAGGTAAGGTCACAAGTAGAGTGTACATCCACTGAGGAAGCTTCCAAAGAGGAAATGCGAGATCAAGGTTAATGCTAGATTTGTGTCACAGGTATTCTATACAAGCCTTTAAAATATTCAGCACACCATTATTTCACTGTTACTGACATTTTAAAATTTTGATTAAAGAAAAAAATAAGAACCCCAACTCCCTCTCACACACATTTTTCCCTTTCTTTTTATTTTAGCCTAGGTTTTTCCTAGAATATTAACATAATTCCTAAAAATTCTCTTTTTCCCTATGTCTTTTGAGTGAGAAGATTTTGCTAGGACCCTAAATGTTTCTAATGAACCTTTTTACTTTTGAAAAAGGTTTTCTTCAAACAACTGCTGATGAGTTTTGCTCTTACTACGCAAGAAAAGATGGCGGGTTGTGCTTTCCAGATTTTCCAAGAAAACAAATGAGAGGACCAGCATCTAACTCCTTGGACCAGATGGAAGAATATAACAAAGTGGAAGAGATCAGCAGGTCCACACAGATAAATACTCTTTAATCTTAAAAAATGACAAATCTTGTGGTTTTGACAGTGACTCATCTGCCTGTGTTATCTTCAGGAGCTAAGTCCTCCAGATGCTTGATTCTTTTTCTTTTTGGTACTTTGCTTCTCTACAATCATAGCTTAAATGTTTTGAATGCTTAGTTTACTAATTCTGTGTTACAAGCTTGGTTTCTCTATGACTCATCCGAATTTTATGGGTATAGTTTTAAACTTGAATTTTATGATTGTTGTTAGCTTATGGTGCTGTGGAAGTACTCTACACAACTGTTACTGGCAAATCAGACAAGACGTGCTCCATAAAAGAAGTCAACCTTCTTATAAATAGATCTTAGAACTTTCTGAGTGCCTTCTTGTCAGGTTTCGTTATTGGGAGTAAAAGCTAGTTTTAATTACAGTTACTGAAAGATGAGATAATGAACTTATAAAAATTGAAAACATATACATGTTTGGGCTCTCACTTTTACTTTCTGGCAGAAGGCTGTTTTATTTTTTTCCATTGAAAAGACTTTAAATGAATCACTGAAAAGGCTCGTTATGGTACTTGGTTTAGCAATACTTCTTGCTTCTCACAACTATTGATTCCAGGGGAAATACATTTTGAAAAGGATACTGAGGGCGTCCTTGTCCTACTTCATCTCAAGAAAAACTTACTGCTTTTCCTTAATTTGTTTAGAAAACACAAACACAACTGCTTCTGTGTCCAGGAGGTTGTGAGTGGGCTACGGCAGCCTGTTGGGGCTATGCACAGCGGGGATGGCTCACACCGGCTCTTCATCCTGGAAAAGGAAGGCTACGTGAAGATACTCACCCCTGAAGGAGAAATATTCAAGGAGCCTTATTTGGACATTCACAAACTCGTTCAAAGTGGAATAAAGGTTGGCTTTTAAAATTTTATTTCCCTTTGCTCTGGCTATGTTGATTTTAGTGTTATCTTCTACCACTAAAATATAAATATGTTTATATTTTATTATATAAATGTTATAAATGTAACACTTAAATACCAAGATATTTCTTCATAATAAAAGAAAGAATAAGGAGAAAATGTAGACGCCACAGAAGGGCTATGTTACTATGGCAATTTAATGAGGCAATGACATTGAATTTTTCTGTTATTTGCTGGCTACTGAGCAATGCAATCAGACTGATACTTTGATATGCTTTCCCCATGTAATTTTCACATTTGAAATAATTTTTGGTTTTATACAGTGTTTCTCTAAATATTTCTTAACAGGCATAATGGGATTGTATATCAGTGTTTCCTGTTAGATACAAAGGCCCTGTATTTTTTAATCGCAAATCATTCTTTCACCATATCTATTTTTGTGTCTGTGTCAAAAAAACACTTCTTAGACTATGACTTCCTTGTACAATGTTTTTACAGGTAAGTCAGATATTTTTACCTGTAATATATCATCTGTGTAATGTATAAGCATGCCTATTCCCTTCTTTCCCACTTCTCTAATTTGAATTCTCAGGTTAAATAATCTAGGTACGCAAATAAAACTATTGTCAAGTTTGTTTCATCTGGGTAACACAGTACAAATTAGCAATAGGAGAGTATAAAGCAAATACTGGAATTCTAAAATTAAGTCATTTAACAGTTGATGCCTATTTTAGAAAGAAACAAAGTAATAGTATAACTTGGCCAGATCAGGTTATCCTTTTCACTTCTTAACTGGAAAAACAACAAGAAAGGTTGGCATTCTTCTACTTGTATAAAAAGGAACTTCTTACTCTCCTATGCTACTCAAAGGTAAGACCACCCAAACTGAAAGAAACAAGTGAGAAAAAAAAAAGTTATATTCTGGATATCTATTTAATACCTACCAGGTTAAAAAGAATTAGAATGAGTCAGTTAGAACACAAGTATGCCAGGTAGTCAAGATCACCCAGCCTCAGGCTCATGGTGTGACGGCCCCAAGACATGCTCCTAAGAGAAGTGAACCTTTTTGTGAAAAAGGACTTTAGCACCAAGACACGGCTCATTTGGAAAAGCCTTTTTAACTCAGTGGTTTCATTTCTCTCCCAATAAAACTTTTCATTAAAATCTACAGCAAATAATGAAAATGCAGCTTTAGTGTTTTGCATATCAGTATGTAATAAATAACCTCCAAACTGAAACTCCTCCCAGGGGGATTGATGAGGAGAGTGAAAGCAACAGCAGCAAATATGTTACTCATGCTCAGGGCACTGCTCCTTCCCATAAAAGTTAACCATACTCTCTGTAAAAGGAAAATGGGGAAAAATAGTTTTAAATCATCCTCTGTGATCTCATTGGTTAAACAAAACCACTATTAAAGTTTTGATATACTTTCTCCTGGTTTTCACATCAAAATTAAATGAATTTTTTTCTTACTACACAGATAATACAGGTCCATGTTAATAAATGTGAAAACAGGCAAGAAACATTTTAAAACTTTTTCCCAGTCAACTTTGAAATAAAATTAAAATCAAATCATACATATGTGTGTGTATATATATACATATATCTGTGTGTGTGTGTATATATATATATATATATATATATTCTTTAATCCTTTTCTTCACTTAACCATATGTCTTAAAGACTTGCCCCATATTTAGAAACTTTTCTTAAAGACTTATTTTTTAAACCTTTTGGATGTTCCATTTTCTTATTATGAGACATTAAGAATGACTCCAATATTTTGTTTTTATCATTGTAAATAATGTTACTTACCATCCTTGCACATATTAATTAACTTGGTTGGTAGATTATTTCCTTAATATTTATTCATAAAAAGAACATTACTGAGTTGAAGAATAAATACCATAATACATATTGCCAATTTGCTTTAAAGTATATTTTTAAATATTTGAGGAAACAATGTATAGTTTTCAAATATTGAGTAAAAGTGTTGGTATTATAAAATACATATATGATAAAATTAGATGTAGAAAAGGCTTACAATACTGGGAAATTTAGTGGTGAGAAATAATAGAACTGATAATATTTCTATTTCAATTTCTGTCTAAAGAATGGCTGTCTGGCCACCCTTAAAACTGTGTTACTTTGAAGTTTCTCTATTTCAGTTTACATCCACTCATTTGGACATTGAATGAAAGATTCATTTGGATATTCTGTTCTGACCTGGAAATATTTCATCACACAATGAAATGGTACAAACCAGGATATAACAGTTCCATGTTTGTACTGTGAGCCTCTAGAAATTCTGCATAACTTGGCCAAACTTGCAGAAAATCTTGTAGAATATGGCATCCTCTTTTCCAAAAGAGCTGCAGGTCTTTGGGAGCTTAAAATAAATTTCAAAATCCAAGGGCCGGGGATTGAGCTCAGTGGCTCAACCGCCTGCCTCGCAAGCACAAGGTCCCGAGTTTGATCTACGGTACCAAAAAAAAGAAAAGAAAAGAAATAAGAGGAATTCCTGATTGTAATAATTTCTGAAAGCTAATGCTGGTGATGAAAAAATCTGGAATACATTCTCCACTAATTATCTATTAAGAATTGACAGTGATTTCTGTCACGTGATAAAGGCAGATATTTTTTTGTGGCAAGGAGCTGGACTTAGTTGATCTTAAACTTCTCCCAGCCTTGATTCTTCTGACTGCTTTAGAGGAAAGCCATTGGCAAGAGCCAATCATTAAAGAATTTGGACAACTCTTTCCTACTTGGGTCTTGACCAAAGATAAAAAGATGATTTTTTAAATGGCCAGTTTGGGCTGCCTAATTTGCAGGAGATTGTAATATACTGGAGGTTTAATTGTACACAATTCACATGGGAAAAGTTATCTCCAAAAAGCTACATGCAAAACACAAACTAAAGAACTGACTTCATTTTGCCATGGGAAGAAAGTTGTGGGGTTGAGATTAAAGAGTAAATCAGAAATATATTTTTAAAATATATAGTAATTTGATAAATTTTTGGTGACAGTAGATTGTGCAAGGGAATCACTAACATCATAGAATGGCCCAAGTGTCATTCTGGTGAGAAGACACTAGAATCTTCATTTCGTGTGTGTGTGTGTGTATGTGTGTGTGTATGTGTGTGTGTACATATACATTCTTTTTTTTTTTCATCCCCAAGGGGGAAATTACAAAAACTGTAATATCTCTAGGGGAAGTCTTTAAGGTACTTGGTGATTAGCTTTTATCTGAATTTTAAATCAGAATATCTGGCAAGTAGAACTAGCTTCATCTTATCAAAATCACTTGGGAGTTTCCAAAAATGGCAATACTCAAATTAAATCAGAGTATCTAGTATTGGGAGCCAGGCATAAAGTTTTCCCAGGTAATTTCAATGTGTAGTCAGTTTGAAAACCTCTTGTTGAGACTGAGCTAACAAGCATTTAGATCAGTTACATAAAGAATGAGACACATTTTCTCTGCCTATTACTGATGGGACCCTTGAGAGCACGTGGCTGGACCCCAGTTGTCATTTGCCCCATACCTTTTGTTATGTAGCTGGTCTACACATATTACTTGTCCAGTTTGAGAAGATAAGTTAACTGTGATAATGTGAAGGTACTTGATATAAAGTTCTGAAAATGATATTTTAATAGTTAATTCTAATTGGGAAATTGCTTTACCTACTCCACCTTCTCCTGTTTTTATTTTACTTATTTATTTTCTCATGTTAGAATCTGGTGCTCAGTTAGCTGGCAAAATTATTATTGTTCCTATTCCTAAAATACGTAGTTTTCCCTTCTGTCTGCAAACCCTTGTTTAAAGGACCAGGACTCCAGGAGGTGTCCTTAGTGAAATCTCACCAAAGCTCCTTTGACTACCAGAAACCTGAAAGCCAGCCTTAGCGTTGCATGTGTGCAGAAGGCAGGACAGGCCTGCACCTGTCACCTACAGGGTGGCCTCTGCAGGAGACTGGCGGGCATCGTCCTCTGTCACTTAGCTCTCCCCAGTGGTCAGAGGTTGGAGAGGCTCATGCCCTCAGCAGCCCCCAGCTTGCATTGTGCAGCAGACACAGCTGAAAGACTTCTCTATCACTGAGACAAGTGTCACTGGACCCTTTCCTCCCTATCTACTTGGATCCTCACTTCAAAAGATGCCTTTTGAAGCAGTCTTTTTACTGGAGGAGGAGAGGACGTAAGGCTGAAAGTGCTGATTGTCCGGGTGAATAAACCCATTGAGGGGGAACTCTTGAGAGACAGCAGTGTGGGTGCCTGACAGTCCCAGGAGGAAAACATAGGGTCTACCAGGGCAAGTCCTTCCTGGGTAGCATCTGAGTTCACAAGCTTGTAAATTACAGGCATTACTATGAGCTTTGAAAGTTCAGCAAAATCGAAGTGCCATAAGCCATTAAATGGGGTGGGATGTTCCATTTCTCTGAACATTGTCAGGGACCTAACCTTTCGTGCTTTTCCTTGCTTTTGACTTGCAATCTTATAGCTGCCATGAAATGTTGCTGTGTTTTTGCTTGAGGGAAATGAGTCAAAGCAGAAATGAGAACGAATTTACTTTTCAAAAGTGCATAGCATGCATCGATGTATCATATGGTGATGACTGGACCACATATAAAATGCTTCCTTAGAAAGATTGTTAGAACTCTGAATTGAAGCATGGTTTGAGTTGAAAGAAAGCATATGTTCAATTGAAAGAAAGCAGCAAATTATGTTTGTTAAACATTACAATAGAAGAATTACCATTCTGGAAAATTTTTGTAAACTATGTGCCATTTAAAAAATTGTTGACATATCAAATTACTGCTTAGAAGTTACTACTTTGCAATCTTATAGCTGCAATAAAAAATTTTAAGTCCGAACATATTTTGCAATCTTATAGCTGCAATCTTATAATGTACTCCTTTTGGGGGGGTAGTTTAGAATTCTGATTCCATAACATTCAGTTAACATGTAGATCTGTGTTAAAAATGTTTGAGTGCAG